CACATTTTGAGTGCCTTCCAACCTGAGGGGCTCATTTTCTGGCACTATATCTGACAGTGTTTCTCTGCTATTCATAAGGTTTTCAGTGACTAAATATTCGGAAGTAGTTCATCACTCTTTCTTCCTAGTTTGTCTTCATCTGGAAGATTATCTGAAACCTGTGCACCATAGGTGACCCTGCTGATATTTAAAATACCAGTGACATAGCTTTCAGAATCACTTTCAGAATCAAACTACAATAAGTAGTTATAAGTAAATAAATACTGAAAGGACTCCGGTGGTGCAGTGCTTAATTGTTTGACCAAAAAGTCCTGGCTCTCCTGTTAAAATGAGCTTATATCTATCCCAGTGTCAGTTTCCTTAATACCTAAGCTCAGAGGATTCTTATGCCTGACAGTGCATGGTAAGGACTAAGGTGGTACCTGTCATGTAGTAAGCTTATGGAGTTCCTAGGTCAAACAATTTAACACTTAACTACTAGCTTTAGCTTCTTTGTGCTCAAGAGCAAGTTTCAGGATCTCTTGTGACACATTTTGGTCATTTCTTTCTTTCCTGTCCTTTTTTTTTTTAATGTTTTATTGTGAATTGTGTGATAGTTTCTTTCCTGTCTTTTTAATGACCTTTTGTTTTTCTTTCTGTATGATGTTCTTGGTGTCATCCCACAACTCTTCTGGTCTTTGGTCATTAGTGTCTCATGTATAAAATCTGTTCTTGAGATGGTCTCTAAATTCAGGTGGGATATATTCAAGGTCATATTTGGGGTCTCATGAACTTGTTTTAGTTTTCTTCAACTTCAATCTGAATTTGCATATAAGCAATTGATATCTCTTCCATAGTCTGCCCCTGGCCTTGTTTTGGCTGCTGAAATTGAGCTTCTCCACTATCTCTTCCTATACATGTGGCCAATTTGTTGCCTGTGTATTCCATTTGTTGAGGTCCATGTGTATGGTTGCCTTCTACGTTGTTGAAAAAAGGTACTTACACAATGAATAAGTCAGTGGTCTTGCAAAAATCTATCATGCAGTTTCCAGCCTATTTTTCAACTACTAATCCTTCCTCTTTGTTTCCAACTTTCAAATTCCAATCAACAGTTTTATGAGAAAACAAGAAGCTCTGTGGTTCACAGAGGGCAGAAAAGCTAACTTCATCTCTACCTGTACCCCACAGGTGCCTGGAGAGTTGCCCCACTGCTGCCACAGCCACACACCATTTATACTTCTGTGATTGTATGTTTCTGAGATTCTTTGCTGAAAGGCACTGTAGATGTAAAATCCTTACCATTATGATCATCACTCTGTTGAAGTTGGTTTCTATCACTGACTTAAAATTTGTAGTGCTTTCTCAGTAGTCATTTTGACTTCTGTCCCCATGCAGTCTCAAAGAAGACGGAGCTGGAACCCCGTATGACAAGGAATCAACAGCCATTATAAAGCTGAACAATACAACAGTTCTTTATTTAAAAGAGGTGACAAAGTTCCTGGCTCTTGTTTGCTTCGTCAGAGAGGAGAGCTTTGAAAGAAAAGGTAATGTTTCATACATGATTAAAATTTTTTTTTTCAATTTAAAGTAATACTGGCTGTTGCTTATTGAATGTGGGTAGACAACACAGCATGATCCTTATAGCATCTAGACTTTTGTCATGTGCCCCCGTAGCAGGCATGCACTCAGGGACTGGCCAACTTCTGGAGTAAGTGAACCAACCTGCCCTCTAGTAGTTTAACTGTAATGTGAAAGTGGAACCAGATGCTTCTCCCAGAGGCCTTAGCTTTCCTGTGAGTGAATGTTATTGTTGCTATGTACTGTGGCACCAATTCTGACTCATAGCAATAAAGTTTATTGTCAGGGAGAGGACACTGTGAGTCTGTCCTACTTGGTCCTTAAGAAGGTCTTAGGTGACCTTGTGACCATTTCTTCTCCCCACTAAAGGAGATGACAGGACTTCCATTCCACTGTCATATACTCTTACATCCTTAAAACAAAGGGATAGCATCATGATTCCAAAAAGGTAAAAACAAGTCTACTTAATGACTTCACATCATTTTTAGGGACAAATGTAGTTTAATTTTCTGTCCCCAGAAACCCTATACAAGGTCGCTATGAGTCAGAACTGATTTGATGGCACTTTACAACAATAATAACACAGTTTGATTTTAAAACAAAAGCAATTAACCTTATAAAGAACAAAATGAAACCACTCAATTTCACCATCTAGAGCTAAAATCCATTTTAAATTAGTTTGATGTTGCTAAGTTTTCTTCCTTTTAACAAAACCAGGGCTATATTGTCTTATATAGGCCCTGAGGTAGTACAAATGGATTGTACTATTAATGAATTGTCTACTAACTTAAAGATTGGCAGTTAGAACCCATCCAGTGACAACTCAGAAGAAAGACCTGGAAGTTTGGTTCAATAAAGATTACAGCCAAGAAAACCCTATGGAACAGTTGTATTCTATAACACATGGGTTACCATGAGTCAAATCTAGTTGATGGCAATGGGTTATTGTCTGTGTGAGAGGACTTCAAAAAGTCTGTGGGACAATTCCATTATCTTATACTTCCATTTTTTCATGAACTTTTTGGAGGCCCCTCCCCCATATAGTTCTATATACTGTTTCCAGTTAATATTATTATATATTGAAAATGTTCCTAGTTCGTTGGATATGGACTACAATTTATATCTTTATTATTTCTATCACCAAAGTAATTTATACATTTAGAAAATTTGGAAATAACAGATAAGCAAAAAAGAAAATAATTTCTGATAGGTCTTTCACTCAGATAATCACTCTCAACATGTCCTGTACAACTTTATAGCATTTTCCCCATATATATATATATATATTTCAAATAACTGGGATTATATAAAAATACAATAACCTATATGATATATGCTACTTTATAACTTACTACAAACATCTTGTTCAGTAAATCTTTTACCATTTCAATTTAACTATTGTTTTAAATTCCTCTACTGCTAGACATTTGTATTGTTTCTAGATCTTAATGTTATAAATAATATTATATTGACCATATTTGCATGTGCATCTTTCTTTATTTCCTCGGAAAAGACCTCAACAAACATAATTACTTCATTCAAAAAAGGCACATTTTGATGGCACTGTAGGATAAGCAGTGGACTGCTAACTGCAAAGTTGGTGGTTCAAACCCACCGTCTGCTCATTGGAAACCATATACAGGGTTAGTTACTAAGAGTTGGAAATGACTTGATGACACTACTACTACTAATTAATTTTGCCAAAATGTCCTTCAGAAAGATTTTTTTAAAAAAATTGTTGTTGAGAACATACACAGTAAAACATCTGCTAACTCAGCAGTTTCACATGTAAAATTTATTGACATTGTGTAACCATTCTCATCCTTCTTTTCTGAGTTGTTCTTCCCTCATTAACATAAACTCACTGCCCCCTAAAGTTCCTATCTCATCTTTCAAATTGATCCCATATGTTTTCGTTAAGTGCCGTTGAAACGGTTCTGACCCATAGCAACCCCATAGAGATAGTTCTTAAAAGAGCATAATGCGGGATATATACCCTTTGGGTGGTTGATGATGCATGGAGGGGATTGGAACCATGGCAGTGAGATAATATTCGATGGAAAGAATGTAAAACTGAAGTTCTCCCATGTAAACTATCATATAATTCACAATAAAACATTAAAAAAAAAAAATAAAAAAGAAAATTAAAAAAAAAGAGCAAAATGCTCAAGACAGACTTTTTTTTTTTTTTTTTTAAGTTAAACTGTTACTAGGTGCTAAGAAGACATCAGGAGGTATGTTTAGTTTAAGGTTTAAGGATTATCTCAGTGCGGTAGTTTCAGGGGCTTAGCCTCTCTGTATGACTCCAAAAAGTCTAGAATCCTTGAAATTCTCCTCTGTGGATCAGGATTCTTCAGTGGAATATTTGATCAAAATGTTTAGTAACAGTAGCCAGGCACCATCCATTTCTTGTCTGTTGGCAAAGGAGGCAGTTAGCTACACATTCTGTATCTTCTTCTTATTCTTTGCTCTCCTTCTTCTGTTAATCCAGGTGAATAGAAACCAGTTGTGCTTGGATGGCTGCCAGAAAGCTTGAACGACCCAGGCACTACACAATGAATTAGGAGGTAGAACAGATGTATCAACCATGTCATTAGACCAATTAATTGGTATAATGAAACCATGACCTTAAACTTCCAAAACAAGGAACCAAATATCATAAGGAATTTGATTATACATAATCAGCCTCAGCAGAGTCTTGGTGTAGAGCTGTAGGATAAGCACTGGACTGCTAACCACAGGTCAGCAATTCAGACCCACTAGCCACACCTCAGAAACCCTATACAAGGTTGTTATATAGAACTGACTCGATGACACGTAACAACAGCAGACTCAGCAATTTCTCATTGTAAATATAGCTGTCACACAACTCTTGTCAATTCAACTTTTTATAGTTGTATAACTTACTAATAGCAATTACAATAATCAGCTGTGCAGCTCTACTCTTAATGTGATGTTTCTATTACTGTTAAACCTCTTTTGCTCCCTCCTTCCCACTCTTCTTGTTAAGTGACGTCAAGTCGGATGTAACTCCTAGTGACCCTGTGTAAATAATGTTTCCGAGGAGTGGCTTGTGAGTTTGAACCACTATTCTTGCAGTTCAAACTGACCTCGTGGTCCAGTGCTTATGCCCAAACTATTATTGTTGTTAAGTGCTGTCGAGTCCGTTCCAACTCATAGCGACCCTGTATAGTGTGTCCGAGGAGCAGCTGGTTTGCACTGCCAAGCTTATGGCTTGCAGTCCAGTGCTAATCCTACAGCGTCACACCAGGATTTCAGTATTCCCATCCTCCGTGCTATAGAGTCCTGGTGTAGTGCTGTGTGTTAATGTGCTAGACTCAATGGCACTTAACAGCACCACATGCTACAGTATGGATGGTGCTGAAAGACATTATGCTGAGTGAAATAAGCCAATCACAAAAGGACAAATGACATCACTTACGTAAAAAGAAAAGAAAAGGCCCAAATATATAGAGACCAAAGTTTATTATTGGTTAGTAAGGTAGGAAGACTTCATTTCTCCTACTGGCTGAATAGTATTCCATTGTAAATGTGCAACACATTTTGTTTATCCATTCATCTGTTGTTTGACGTTTAGAATGTGTCCACCTTTGGGCTATCATAAGTAATGCTGCAATGAGCATTGGTGTACAAGTCTCTGAGTCTCTTCTTTCAAGTCTTTAGGATTGTATACCTAGGAGTGAATTACTGGGTCATAGCATTTTATTTTTAGTTTTTGAGTCCTCACACTTATTCACAGTGGCTGTTCCTTTTTGTATCCCCACCAGCAATGGACTAGGGTTCCAATTTCTCCACATTTTTACCAACATTTGTTATTTTCTGATTTTTTTTTTTTTTTTTTTTTAATCTTAGCCATACTAGTGGGAGTGAAATGGAAATCTTGTGGGGGTTTTTTCTGTTGTTGTTGTTTAATCTCTCCATCTTTTCATGTGTTTGGTGGTCATGTGAATGTTTTCTTTGATGAAATGTCTATTCAAGGCCTTTGCTCATTTTATGATTGTGTTATTTGCCTTTTTGTTAAGTTACCGAAGACATACATAATTTGGCTATTATATTCTTGTGAGAGATATGGTTTTTTTTGATGAATAAAACTTTTTAATGAATTCTTCTTTAAATTCTTCTCTGCATTATTAATGGATTAATCAAAGGCTAAGTGCCTTTGAGTCGGTTTCATCTCATAACAACCCTATATAGGATTTCTGAGTCTTTTAAATCTTTTCAGGAGCAAGAAGCCTCATCTTTTCCCATGGAGCAGCTGGTGGGCTTGACCCACGGGCCTTGTGTTTTTCAGTCCAGTGCAATCAATGAGGTCCCATTTATTTATTTTCTTTTTGCAGCTTGTGCCTTTGTTATTAGATTAGATACTCCATTGTTAAAAGCTAGGCCTGACAGTGTTGCCCCTGTCTGTTCTTCTGAAAATTTTGTGTGTTTTAGTTTGCACACTGAGGTCCTAAATCCATTTTGAATTTTTTTGTGTGTATGGTATGAAGTAAGGATCCTGTTTCATTTTTTGCCTGTGGAAATACAATTTCCCCAACACCATTTATTGAAATGACTCTTTTCACCATAAGCTGGATAACACTCCTGTCAAAAATCAGTTGATCATAGATGTGTGGGTTTATTTCTGGACTCTCAATTCTGTTCCGTTTATCTATGTGTCTTGTGAATTATTATTAGTACCAGGTTGGTACAATACTGTAGCTGTATAGTACTTAGATGTTTTAAGATCAGCAAGTGTGAGTAAGCCTGCTTTAGTCTTCTCTTTCACCATTGTTTTAGCTTCTCAGGGCCTTTTGTGCTTTCATTTTCATTTGACTCTAAGAAATTTGTGATTTCTCTTTTGATTTCTTTCCTTGACCCATTGGTGGTTTAATAGTGTGCTGTTTGTTTTTTATATGTTTGTGTATTTTCCTTTTTTTTTTTTCTGTTACTGATATCTAGTTTG